CAAGGTGGAAAGAGGAGTAGTAGCAATAGAAGGATCAGGAAGGATAGCACACTCAAGAATGCCATGTATTTCTACTGAGAGAGAAGATAGCCACGAGGGGAGGTGGCAACATCAATGTCTAAGAAGTATCAAAGATATCCAAGATCATTCATCTCAATTTGACTCTACATGTACTGCTTCAATGAAGCAGTGGTAGAAGAATCACGTCTTTAGTGATATAGATTACCAAAGGAAGCAAAGGTCGAAGCTCTTAATAAATGAGCTCTGATTGTTTCCTTTTCTCAATAAACAACCAGGAACTTTGAATAAGATCATGGAACCCATGGAAAGAACCAATCAATTTTTTTTCCAACAAGGAGGAGAGCCTTTAGTAAGCCAACTGACCATGAAGCCTTAGCTTCGAATCAAGAGAGAGAGCTTGACGCTTGCCAAGATGAGATCTAGAAGACGAGGACAATAAAGGTTAGATCTAATGTCAACAAGAAGCAGAACACATATGACAAGCTCGAATCTGAAGTAGAGGGTCAAAAATGCAATGAAGACTGGATCTATTGTCGAGGGCGACGAGGGATTGAATGACAATCAGAAGTGACGTTGGTGGATGGGCACTAGAGAGGGCGTCGACGTTAGCAGTAGTGGTGGTTGCGTCTACGATTATCTGAGGCGATGCAGAGGCGAGGATGGAGAGAGCCATGCAGATCTAACGTGAGTCAAGAATCTAGTGGTTTGAAGGAACGGGTAGGATTTTGGAGGGTTTTGAAGGAACTGCTCTGATACTATGTTAATTGGTACAAAGGAGAGCTTGTGTTACTGATAATCTGATTTACATATTCCTTAACTTATATAGACGCACACACTCGACACCCCATCAACCAATAGCCCGCACTAGTAGGCGGATACATGTATGTATGTATGTATGTATGTATGTATGTATGTATGTATGCCTGCATGCATGCATATATGTATGCATTCATGTGTGTGTGTGTATTATCTAATCAATAGGGTGGATCATGATGATATCGAACATCTATAAAACAGAGAAAATGTAAATATATTATCTAATCAATAGGGTGACTCATGATTATATTGAACATCTATAAAACAAAGAAAATGTGGGGATTTTATAGAAGCTCACATCCTCTCCTTTGGAAGGAATCTTTCATTTATCTCATTAAAAAATATCACACCCTTTTTTTTCTCTCACGTTTGGTTTTCTATAAAGTTGATTTTCTTCTTGTCATATTTTGAACCAAACTAAGAATGAGTTAAAAACAAGAAAACACCACTTCTTGGAATTCTATAAAACTTTCCCTAGGCCTGTTTGTTTGCCTAAAAAAGAGGGAAATCAAAGGATAGGAAACCTATTTCTAAGAAAAATTATTTTAAGATTGTTTGGTTGGCTTAAAAAAGAAGAAAATCAAAAAATGGGAGATGATATGAGATGAGTTGTCACATTATTATTGGATGATGTGAGTGATTTTTTTAAGATAACTTGTTCTGAGGTTGTTTGGTTGGCTAAAAAAAATAAGGAAATGAATTATAAGAAACTTATTTCCTGTAATAGGTTCCTTTCTTGTATTTGGTTTATTCTTAAAAATAAGAAAATAAATGAGATGAGATGAGTTATCATTATATTATGGGATGATGTGACCCACACTTAAGGAAATCAATTTTCTTTGTTTTTTTTGGGAAATTAGTGGAAATGAAATGCTAATGAGATGAGATAAGTTATCACCATATTATTGGATGATGTGGGTGATGAGATGAGATGGAGATAAGATGAGTTGGATGATGTGACTCATTTCTTGTAGAGCTTTGCTACATGGACCCAAAATATGGGACCAATATGGGGGACAAGTGAGGTGTCCCCCTCCTATTGGATAATGAGTTAGCCATCATTAATGATGGCTAACTCATTATCCAATAGGAGGGGGACACCTCACTTGTCCCCTCCTATTGGTCCCATATTTTGGGTCCTTGAGGGTTTTTTTTTTCTTTCTTGTGTTTGGTTTATTTTTAGGAGAGAGTGCTGCTACGGGGACTCAAAATATGGGACCAAGGGAGGGGACAGATGATGTGTCCCCTCCCTATTGCATAATGAGTTGGCCATGCCAACTCATTATGCAATAGGGAGGGGACACATCACATGTCCCCTCCCTTGGTCCCATATTTTGGGTCCTTAAATCATTTTCCTTTTAGGAGATGATATGAGATGAATTGTGGGATGAAAATTATATTATATTGGATGTTGTGGTGAGTTTTAGGGATAAAAATGGATGAAAATAATATTTTATTGATTTTCATGTACCCTTTTTTTTCTTGATTTTTTTTCCTTTTCATTTTCTTTATTTTTAGGAAACCAACCAAATAGGTAAATTTAATGGAGTCATATAAAAATTAATTTTAAGCAATTTTCCTTTTACTTTTTTTTAAACGGATATCGAACCAACCAAACAGCCCCCGTCTATCACTGTTGCTTTGCACACGAATGCCCTTGCCCACACTTCAACAAACACCCTCACGTTCCTGCCCGTAATTCCGGCGTTGTTTCCGTTTCTGTTTTATGCTGCTGCCTTAGTTTCCTGCACAAATCTGTGGATTCTTTATTTAGATTCAGCGCATCTACGTCTCCTCTGAGGATTCCCTCATCATTTACCCATTGGATTCTTTATTTAGATTGAGTGCATCTAAATCCCGTCTGATGATTCTTTTATCATTTACCCACTGAACGAGAGGCAGCCCGTGATCACCAATGCGGCTCTCACGTGCTCTCGTTTTGCGGCACATCTTGATCTCAGGGTCCTTCTAGCTAGGGCTGTCCATCCGGGCCGGCCCGGGCCGGACAAAACCCAAGCCCGGACCCGGGCCCGGGCCCGGGCCTGAGCGGGCCGGACACCGGGCCGGCCCGGTTTGATTTTTTTTTAGAAATTTTTTTTTTTAAATTTTAACAAAACCATAAACCATAAATTATTATAAAAAATGTCATAAATTTAATTAATAGCTTGAAATGAAATGACATAAATTACAAGTACAAAAAATGATAAAAATAACTTCTTTATTAATAATCGGTAAATCCTTTACAAATCCTTTACAAGTATAAATTTATTTCGAAATTCGTCGCATCACAATAGATGAGTACATCCCAACTAGGTTGGCACCTACTCACCCATATCACTATCATTTGCAACTTTTTTCGAAATAATTTAATTCAAATTTAAAGCTAAGAAATAAAAATTACAATTTTATGAATATTATCTAATCATTATATCTATCTGCTAGTCCCAACTCTTCAAATTTATCTTCAATCATAGCAATCCGTTCGATGCCTTGTGTTCGCTTCTCGTATCTCCACCAATCCTGTAAGCACATCACCGCTTGTACAGTATACGGATCTAAGCATGTCCTGTGGTCGTCGATCAAACGTCCTGCTGTGCTGAAAGCGGATTCCGAGGCTACAGTCGAAACCTGCACTGATAGTAAGTCACGAACCATGGTGGAAAGTATAGGATATGAAACTGATCCATATACTTTCCACCATTGCAAAATATCTAAAGCATTTCCTTGACATCTAACTAAAGAAGCAGAAAAATATTCATCTATTTCAGAAACATCTAATCCTGATGAAGTTCCAGATCCACCAGTTAGTTCAGCTACCATTGCATACCTATCAAAACTTACACTTTTACCTCGACCTGTGCTCGAAGCTGAAGGTGCCGAAGCTGAAGACTGTTGTGTAGCTACACCATATCTAGCTGCATACTCATCATATAAGGTTTGAAAATAATTTCTAATAGCTAAATAATGAGTAGTAGCAGTAAGGGTGGATCCATCATCTAAGTCTATAATCTGTCCACCATACAATGATTGTAACAAACTTCGAAGGCCAATTTCCTTCAAGCATGGATCAATAAGAACACCAATACCAAAAATATGAGGAATAGGCCTAAAATACTTATTAAATTTACTCTCCATTTCAAAAATTATACTTCCAAAAATATCATCCATACGATATTTTGTAAAATTTTTTTGAATATTTAAAATTTGTAAAGCAGCTAAAGTAATAGTTGGATAATAACAACCAGATAATAACATAGTAGCATCATAAAAAACTTGTAACATCTCATTTAATTTACATATAACTGTCCATTCATCTTCAGTTATTCCATAAGCACTACCAGAGCTAGAACTAGAAGCATAAAAATTTATAAAATCATTTATAATTTCTTTATATTCTATTGCTACAGATAACATTGCATAGGTGGAATTCCACCTATGGTCAACATCTTTTGGAATTAGTCTAGGCTTATAATTTTTTCTTTTACAACATTGTTTCCATCTTTTAATTCTCATTTCAGAAGCATTATGCATATTAGTAACTGTTCTAACTTTTTCTATCATGGGTTTAATTTCAGAAAATGCACTTTGAACAATTAAATTTAAAATATGACAGATACATCTAACATGAAAAAGCTCACCATGACATGGCAATGACAAAGTTATTTTCAGAAAATCAACAGCTACATTATTATTACTTGCATTATCTAGTGAAAGAGTAAATATTCTTTGATCAATTTCTAGTTTCATAAGTTCTTCAACAATTAAATTTGCAACATTAATACCAGTGTGTGACTCTTCAATTGCAATAAAAGAAACAACTCTTTTAAACATTTTCCAACTTTCATCAATCCAGTGTGCTGTTATACATAAATAACCAGTTTGCACTCTAGATGACCAAATATCAGAAGTTAAAGAAAATTTGCAGTTTAAATTTTTAAAATAAGAAATTATTTTTCCCTGTTCCTCAACATAATATTTTAAAATATCACGTTGACAGGTTTGACGAGAAAATTTTGTAAATGCAGGATAAAAACCATCTCTAAATAAATCTTCAAATTCATCATCTTCTACTAATTTAAAAGGAAGGTTTTTAAGAACAATAAACCTGATTACGCATTTCCGGGCTCGGGCAGCGTCATAATTCCAACTGCCGAGGGTACCTG